ATAACCTATAAATATTGATTAAAGTGGCGGCGGCAGAACATTAAGCTTCTGCTCCTCCTTTTTCAACTCTTGTGTTCTACTACTTCTCTTACCTCTTCCTCCTTTTCTCTTTACCTTTCTTCTTATTTTCGAACCTGAAATCCATTAGGGTTCAAGACTAATACAGTCCTGAACTTCTACTTTACTAAGCCTCCTAATGTGAATTATGACATTGACCTCCCTATTACAGTTTGTTAAGTGAAAAGGACATGCGCTAAATATTCTATATCAAATTATGTCTCTTATGATACCTTATCACATTCTTATTGTGTCTATGTCTTTGCCATTTCTTCTGTTTTTATCCCTTACAATCTTATCAGGGCGGTATAGTTTCCTCATTGGAAAGATGCTATGAATTAAGAGATGAAGGCCCTTGGAAAAAACCAAACATGGCAAATTATTTCTCCTAGAAGGTTAAGTTCCTTTTAGATTTAAGTGGGTATTACACTATGAAGCATAAAGTTGATGGCTTAATTGAAAGGTGTAAAGCTTGGCCCTTGTATCAAATGGATGTTAAGAATGCCTTCCTTAATGGCAACCTTCAGGAAGAGGGTTACATGGATCTTTTTCCAAGAGTGAACATCTCAGGAGGTGAAGGAAAGGTTTCCTGCTTGAAGAAATCCCTTTATGGCCTTAAACGATCACCTAGAGCTTGGTTTGACAGATTTGGAAAGGCAGTCTTGAAAATCAGTTTCATAGAATCTCAAGATGACCATACCTTGTTCATAAGGAGAGTCAATAGCCATGTGATTATGTTGATAGTATATGTCAATGATATTGTTATCATAGAGGATGTGTCTCAAGTATTGCTGAATTGAAGTCTTTCCTTGCTACTGAATTTGAAATTAAGGATCTTGAACTTCCATGGGATTGAGGTTGCAAGGTCAAAAGGGGCATTTATATTTCTCAAAGGAAGTATGTTCATGATTTGCTTCAAGAAGTAGGAAGATTGGATTGTAAGCCAGCTAAAACTCTAGTTGATTCCAATCATAAGTTGGGAGGTGATGATGGAGATGTTCTTCCTAACAAAGGTATGTATCAAAGACTTGTTTGTCGCCTTCTCTACTTATGTTTGACTAGACCTTATATATCATATGCTGTGAGTGCGGTTAGTTAATATATGAATAAGCCCAAATCTTCTCACATGCAAGTAGTGAATAAAATACTTGCTTATTTGAAAGGATGTCCAGGAAAAGTATTGTTGTATTCTTATCATGGGCATCTCAAGATTGAGGCCTACTTTGATGCTGACTGGGTAGGTTCTATTGATGATAGGCACTATACTTCTGGTTATTGTACCTTGGTAGGTGGTAACGTTGCATCTTGTGAAGAAGCAATCTGTTGTGGCCCGATCAAGTGTAGAGGCAGAGTACAAAGCCATAGATCATTGAGTTTCTGAATCGTTATGGTTGAAACTTTGTTGATAGAGATGAGAGTACAAATTGATACTCCAATGATGCTATATTGTAATAGCCATGCTGCCATAAACATAGCCTGAAATCCTATTCAACATGATCGTACAAAGCATATAGAGGTTGACAGACACTTCATTAGACAAAGAATTGCAAGTGGAGAGATTTGTTTACCTTTTGTGAGGTTTGAAGGTCAACTAGCCAATTGAGGGGGAAGCTGGGAAAGCTGGGCATGATAAATATATATGCTCAGCTTGAGGGGGAATGTTGAGTGTAAGGGAATTTTCATCTTCTATATGTTTTTGTATCAGGGTGTCTAGTTATGGGCTTTTTTGTAATTTGATTATTATGTTCAGATACCATGTTTCTGGGTGTGAATAGTAACACACCTCTTCTTCTCCTCTCCTCTTCTTTTGTTTTCTTCTTTTCTTTCTTTCTTTAATCTTTATGACACAATATTTTGTAAATGTACCCATTAGAGAACCAAGTCCTGCAACTTTCTTGGATTCTTGACTAGTCTCAAGGAAATCATCTCCCATAATAATAAAGATTTAAAACACCCGGAGATTTTCTACCTGATTCTTCACTAACAAGCTCTCTGCTCACACAACTCCTGTAGAGTAAAGAGGGCAAACGCCAACTTGACAACATTTCCGACAGGCCAAATCGACATAAACAGCCACCACAGAAATACACAATCATCGGTGCATTCATCATATTTTATATATTAAATACTGGATTGACCATACTGCTTTTGAAACTCATACATTACAGTGTCAACAAATGGTACTTCTATTTCTAGTAAAGTTCACCACTTTATTCATTCCTAATTTTGATCTAATATTTGGTTCTTCTAGTTAAACTGTTCCTTGGACATACACAATCCATTTAGCAGCCAATAGCCCAGGCTTCAGACACTTTTAAATTCCTTTATTGCAGGCCATCCAAATTTCAGATAATTATGCCTGTCAAGGCTATGTCTAGTTTTTTTTTTTTTTTTTCCCAAAGAACCACTATATGAATAATGAGTTTTGAGCTATTCTTTTTTGAAGATAAATTTTTAGCTCCAAAGAATCAATTCTTAGAATGAGTTTTAAGCCCACAAAAAGGAATTGGTTCCAGCAATTTCTGTACATCCAAACTAAAAATAATTCTTAAAATCGCAAAGTTTGTCAGAATGAATTCTCTGAAAGCATGCCAAATGCTTGCCTAAATTGTCGATTATATTTGATTTATCACAAAAATACCTTCTTGGAGCAGTTCTTATTAGTGAAATCTTGTGTAAAAATGAGTATATCTGAATTTTGTGCTGTGCAGCTCAAAGGAAATATACATCCATCATGCACCATTTTCATGCCTTCATCTATTTCCAGGTCAGTAGAATGTCACTCAAGTTACATTTCTATTTTGTCTGCACATTTTTAGGAGAAAAATGTCTAGTGGTGATAATTTATTGTTGTTTAATCATCATCATCATCATCATATAAGCCTTGTCCTAACTATATAGGTCCACTACATGAATCTTGTTTCACTAGTTGATTATGTTTAGTGTCATATCCTTTGGTCTGCCCCTCTAGCCCCCTCAACTTGTAACATATCACTTCCTCTTACAGGTTTTGTAGGCAGTTTGCTCTGCATTTGATCAAACCATCTTGGTTTACTTCCCTCATTTATCACCTATTGGAGCCACTCCTAGGTTCCCTCATGGTTCAAAGTATCGATACACCTCTGTGTATCAGCAGAGGTGTATCGGTACTTTGAACCACACGGAAATATGATTTTTTTTTATTTTGTTTTCAAAATTTGGTTTTTGGGGAGTTTTTAACCTATATTTTTCATTAAAAAATAGTGGTGTCCTGAAACACCTGTAAGCAGGCGTATCGGGACCCAAAAGACATGATACGATACGCCCGATGGCCGATATGGGGCATATTGTATCGATTTTTTGAACCTTGGGTTCCCTTGAATAAGTTAATTTCTCAACATTCAAATGTGTGCCACACTCATTTTTTGGACATGGTGGTTCTTGGCTGCCCAACACTCTTCTCCGTATAGCACTTCTGGCCTTACAACTGCTCTAAAGAATTTTCCTTATAGCTTAAGTGGTATTCGCCTGTCACATACGACTCTAGATATACCCATCCATTTTGCCCATCCTATTCTAATTCTACCATCCTCATCAATGTCTCCCTTATAATGGATTATTGAACCAAGGTAACGGAAGAAGTCACATCGAGGTATCTCTTGGTATTCAATCCTAAGGGCCCCCCGATTTACTCCTATTATTATTAAATTTTGTTGCTTTGATTTATTGTTGTTTTGTATACATTAACTAAATTTAAGTTTTGACATGTAGTTTGGTATCACTTCAATCCTATGATCAATACTTCTTAGCAAGCTCTATGGATGGATCGGTGAGCTTTCATCTGAATATATTTGTTTATAGCCAATGTGAAGTTTATATGTTTATTGAATCCTTCTTGCTACATTTGCAGATCTACCTCTATGATCACCGCCTTCTCAAGAGAGGAGCCATCCAATCTTATGAAGGGCATGTAAATTCGCATACACGTATACAACTTGGAGTGGATCCATCTGAGAGGCTTGTCTTATCAGGTTCATAACATTGATTGTAATCAATACGTTTTACATTTTTCTAAAAGCTTAGATTCTAAAATACTTGTTAGGTGGAGAGGATGGTAATTTACGTATCTGGAGCATCAAGACTGGTGAGATGCTATTTAGGAATAAGATCTCTAATTTGGTTCCTTCAACAGTGTGCTGGACAGGATCTGGTACAGCCTCTTACTGCTCTCTCGTGCTTAGCTTTTTATGGTTGGTGTTTGTTGCTGTCCATTTTTTCTTAATGTTAACTTTTCAACTATTTTTGTATAGGGGCATGGCTTGGATCACGGGAAGGAATAGTTTTCATGCAAAGGTAACTTTGAAATATGGATGCTTAATGCAAAGTGAATAGCCAGTGATGACCTGCTATTACAAGGTAAAGTTTCTAGTCGAAATGAATGGGCAGCATCTCTTCTGTTATCTGAATGGAAGAATCCAGACCCCTACTGCAGAGGCCCATGTGGGTTAATTCATTAGGTAACTTCTGGCTCTTAACCTAGTCATAACAAAGAAATGGGAGTTACCTTTAAATGCTCCAATATTCTCCTGTTTTCTGTAGCTCCATCATAGTTGCTTCATGACATTACCAAGGCTCTTCTAGTTTCCAAGATAGAAAGCCCATGTTTGTTTGCAATCTGAATCTTAAAGGGCTTTCCTTGCAATGTGAGATGGACCTTCCTAAATGGAGAAAGTTTCCATGGCATACATCTGTTGAATTCTCAGACACCAAACAGATTCTTGAGGGGACACTTCCACATATGACTTCTTTCCCCTTATTTGTGACATAAACGAGCATCTGATGTAAATAATGAATTCCATCTTTTCTTATTGAATGATGTGTGATAAAGATAAAACTTTTAGATTTGGTTATGCAATCTTCTACTTGTATATGATATAATTTACATGATACATAATTTTTTCAGTAGTAAGTGCAATTTTGGTTGTGTCCTCAGGTCCAAGACACATTTTATGTCTTCTTGCCAAGTCAGACTCCTGGACGCATCAGATTCCAACTGCTGTCTCGGTTTCCATGCTATACTATTTCCTCTTATGTCTTCTGATGGTGGAAGCAGTCCTCTAACCAGTTGCATTTTTCTTTTTCTAGTTCTGAGTTTTATTGGAAAATGAAAACAGGATTTATCTGGCCACATCCCAATTTTTGATAATCCAGGCACATCCCAGTGAAAATCAAAATATAACCTGTTTATTATTATAAAATTAATTAACAAGGGTACACTTCGCCCTCTATGAAAAATGTGGGATGTGGCAAAATCAGTACCTAATAAAAAAGACCTATTCCTTTAGCTGAGTCTTTTCTTGTGATTCTTTCACTTTTTCATCCCAAGGTATTATGTTGAAAAACCTACAGAGTTACATTTGGGTTTTGAAGTTCCTACATTGCAGTTGATAATTAGAAATTTAGAACATTGTAGAAAGATAAATGAAAATATATTTTCCAATAAGTATCAGGGAAAAAAAAGTACTTTTTGTGAAAATCAATATGAAATATTTTCCAGAACAAGTCTTACTCCAACTGGTGCAGTTGTGCCCTGTGCCCGTCATTTATTAGGCCATGGGCCATGGGCCATGGGCCATGGGCCATGAATACAAGAATAATCCTAAGTTCCTTAATTGAAAGGTTTGGAATTCTACAAAAGAAAAAAAAAAAAAGAAAAGAAAAGAAAAAATCAAAGGTTTGGAGTTCGTTCTAACTTCTGAAGTTGGAGGTCCTTTTACAAGTACTGATCCTATGACTTGACCTATTTCGTTTCCCATCCACCTACCATGTACAATTGAAATAGGGAGGAAGCGTGGAACTTAGGGGCATCCTATGATGGGATGGCATTCTAGTTACTTATTTTGACTTTGATTTCCCGAAGTCAGGATTATATGCTAGGTCTCTGCATTATAGAGATGTGCCTGTAAGAATTTTTCATCAATCATCCATGGCTATTCAAGCACGTGAAGCTTAGTTAGACATATATGAGAAAGCTTTTGGTCCACAGCTTGAAAGTGGTCGTTGAGGTCTGCTCAAATTAACCAGGTCATGGCTCGATTTGCTGAGTGTAAAAGTTCACAGTAAGACATAAAAAACACCTGGATATGTTGATAATGCATGCCCATAATTAACATGTAAAATTAGATATTTGTATGGATTTTGTTCCTGACATCTCTTACTTTCTAAAAAGCATTTACAAGAGACCAAACTAGATTTTGTCGATTTCATTTTTACTGTCTTTAGTTGTGATCTTGTCACTCTTTGCCCAGTATACAAAGAAATGTTGAAGAGCCGGGGTTAAGCTTTTGATGGTGAAGCATCATTCTGTACTCCTTTGTTTAGTGAATTTTAAACTTTATAAACTTTTGTAACAAAGAATCAACCTTCCTGCCCCAAGGAGAACTGTAGCTATCAATCAAAGATGACCCCATTATCAGTCCTAGTCATTTAAAAAAAAGACTATGTTGTGTCCTTGGTAAAGTAATAATAATCTAATTCATAGCTTTCCCGGTAGACCATCCATTTCAACTTTTGCTAATCTTCAAATCAAAAGTGAACTAAAGTGTATGTGATTAGTTTCTTTTTATCATCATTTTCTAAATAACAGATACAATAAAAGGCATAAATAAGGAGGGCCCCATTATATTTGTGATTTGTGGGGATGTATTAGCTTCTAAAATCATTAACTATGCAATTTCTTTCCCCCAAAAATAATTGATAATTCTACTTTTTAACACTGAAAGCGGTGGAAAACAGAGGATGGTTGAGATGATCCAGTCACATTCATGTCTGTTTTGTTATCCCAGAGGTGGGTCCATGAACGGACGTTCTTGATTGCCTGCATTTCTACCATGTAGTATCCTCATAACGTGCTTGTACAATCCAAATTTATCCGAGGTGACTTGCAGGTAGAATTGTATTGACTATGTGACAGAACACATCTCGATTAACACCAAAACAAGGATTGGATGGTACAAGACTGGTAGCTGGCCACGTTGCAATTGTCACATATAAGGACCACTTTGCAGAGGGCTTCATCTTTGGATTCAGAAATTCAGAAGCTTTTCTCTTTGAGTTCAGGCATCAGTGGCTTTTTCCTCTTTGAATTCAGAAATCAGAAGCTTTTCTTTTTTTTTTTCCTTTTTTCCTTAATTCTCAATTCTCAATTCTCGTGAGGCTTCAATGGGACTCCAACTATTCTATCGTAATTGTGAGTGTGTGACACTATCTCTTACCATAGATGTTACCCAAGTACCCAACAATGGATCAATCCATATCGTCCATGTGGTGGACCCTGGCTGTTAGAATTGAATAGCAAATAATGCACTGAGCAATGACAGATGACCAGATCTACGGCGTTGGAACTCCAAGGCCATTTAATATGGCTAGTCACGATCTATTTGGAGTTATCTTTTTGTTTGAAGATGGGTGTGAGAGGAGAGCCCTGCAGATAATAGTCAGCTCAGCTGGGTGGCAGACAGGCAAAGTCTTTGCATGAAAGTGGATGAAAGCCAATCGGGCTCATTGCACCCTTTACACAGTAATGATGAGATGTGAATTGGATTTGAAGCTATGATCCTGTCCACACTGTTCATATCTCAACTTTTCTTTATAATCATATTCATTCTTTTCCTTTTGGAAAGCTATTACGTATAAATATATGAAGCTCTCTATCTAGTCTTTCAAAGCTTGAAGCTTGCATTGCAGTTTTAGGGATTTCTCTCAGTCCCTGACTACCAAAGGAATTGAAGACCAGAGGGCAGGGCGATGTGTTGTGTGCCCTCTGCATCTTTTTTATGCTTAACCAATTCCTAGAAATCATGTAAAACCTGGATTGGGAGATTGTTTTGTCTAATTAATAAAGCTTTCTAGCTTTTCCTATGTAGACATTTTGAATACAACATACATATTTTTGACCTCTCGATTGAAGTGGACCATCTACATCTCGTCGGTGGTGGCCGGAGTTCTTTGCTTTTGGGTCATAGACTCATAGATTAGCCTAAAATCTATAAAATTATCAGATTTAAAAATGAAAAGTCGGTAGATTTGAAACAACTTTCTGGCTCCAGATGTGGTCAGAGCATCAAACATGGTTCAAATTCAGAATTTTAAATGCCTCGCAAGTGGGGAAGCTTGGCCACTGAGCCACTGAGCGTGTGGTGGCTGTGTGAGCTGTCCTGTTGGATGCATATGACAGATATTTATCAGGAAGGATGGATTCTGAGTTTAGATGATTGGTTGCATCGATTTTTTCTCTTGATAGACGATTGATTGCACCAATTAGATGCATTTTTTTTTAAGATCTACCCGCTCAGTTCTTACCAGATTTAGGAATTATGCTGACAGGACTAATATAAATTTTTTCTCCTTCACATGACAGGGAAAGAGAAAGCCAACGAGAGAATATAAAAAAAAAATCATGCAATGACAGATGAGGACGGAAAGAACCCTTTTATAATGATTCAACTTTTGTAGAAAAAAAAGAGGGCATTACTGTATTTCCCAGACACCAACGAGGGTCATTACGGGAATTCGGTGAATGAAAGTGACCCTTCACTTCCTACTTTGGATGCCTGGCCACATAGCTTTTCACGCAGAACAAGGGTTTTACCCTCCTTTTCATGATTGCATGCGGTCTCGTCTTAAACAAGAGTCCAAACCCAGTTGTTTAAATTTAATGATGATGTCTCTTGGCTTTGTTAGTTTAGTTGTTCAGTAGTACTTCTTCATTCATCTCTGCTCTGCTACTATTATACTCATGACACTATTCAGACGATGAGAAGATTAATCCCCGTCCTCTCTATTACATGAATTTTGATGGGAAATCATCCAAAATCCATACTTTTATATCAATCATACAAACACCCAACCCATGAGAGGAAAGAGAGACAAAATCAAGTAACGAACAGGAAAACCCATCATCAATTCAAGAAAGTAAAAAAAAAAAAAAAGGGAAAACAACTAATAAGATGTAAAGATGATTTACTTGAATCTCATATACACTCTCAAAGTTTCAAGATTATATGATTGACTACTAGGGTGTGTTTGTAGGACAATGATAACATGAACAAAAATATGACAATGTTGTTCTGGCACTGCCGGAGGTGTAATTATGTAGAGAGAGGAGGACAGAAAGAAGAGAAGATGATGAAGAGAGACGGCTTAGACGCTTTGATTCCTTTGCTTGCTTACCTATTGGAGATGGGATTTGGACCACTTGGGACTTCATGGGCACTGGCATTGAAGACCCTCTGTCGTCGCCGCGCCGACGATCGATATGATGCTGGATATGGCCTGCTGCTGCTCCTCGCCCGACCAGGAGGAGGAACTGGGTGGGCTTTGGCCTTCAAATTATCACCATTGATATCTCTCCTTGTATCAAGTGTTGATGTAGAGAGGTTTTGTTCTTTCTTGGCGGTGGTGCAAACCAGAATGAGAAGAAAGAAGAAAAGGGTCACCAGAGCTGTATGGGGAGAGACCGAGACCACAACCGAGGTCTTCTTACCAGTGGTAATTCCATCACTAGCCATACAAAGTGAGCTAAACAAACCATCCAAGAGCCCTCAAGAGAGACCAACAAAAGATAGCTGTTGTCTATTAGACTTTAAAGAAGATGACCAGGTATAAATGACCATATAAGATAATAAAGATTAGAGAGAGAGAGAGAGAGAATCTTGAAAGGTAAAGTAATGAGGAAAGGAGAGATGAGCTACTTTTAAGTATGTTGTGGTGGTGGTGGAGGTCAGAGTAGAAGAAAGAGGGTGAAAGAGAGGAAATTTTGAGAGCTTCGTTTTGAGTTTTGACATTTGACAGCGGGGACTGGGGAGCGCTTGGGAGCAACAACGCATCGTTAACAATAACAATGGTCTCC